CTATCTTCTTTAACCGTTGAAGCTTTCTTTTATATTTGGAGATTCAAATTTTTCTATTGGAAACAGTTTCTAACCGTTGTAAGCATGTCTAATGCCATTTTAGTCATTATTTTGTCTTCTAACATTTAAATTCAAATGGATAGGTAGTGTTCTGTTAACTAGTTAAAGGCAAGCTTTAATCGATTAAGCCTTCAATGTCTTGCACTATCTGGCAACTCATTCTACTATGTTAATGTTGGTTAATTTAGATTAGTTTTAGTCTTTACTTTGTTTTTCCTTTTAATTTAATTTTTAATTGTTTGAATAAAATGTGTTATAATTTTACTACTTAACAATAGGAATTAAAAAATTCTTTGTGGGAACAATACTTTACTTTATCATTATACTACTTGTTAATGATATGTGCACTAGCGTGAAAAATCAATAAGTTTTTGACGCCATTGTTGAGGAATTAATTTTAATTCTTTCTTGTTAATATTAATACGAAGTATTCCTAATCTTACTTCAAACTTTTCTTTTCTTTATCTTTCTTTTCAATTTTTTTATTTTATTTATTTTTTACATTAAACTCTATTAATTTTCTTTTTGTCGTAAAAAAAATCCTCTTACAAGTGACAGTGAGGAAGATGATAGTAAGGATAAAAAGGAAGATTATAGCTTCTTCAGATTAATTTAATCGTTAGGGGTGTATTCCTTAACTCTCTTTTATTTTTTTTAATATTGAGGATAATGTTTAGTTTATGTTTGGGGGGATGAATTTTTTTTGTGGTAAATATTATGTGAAAGTTTTAGATTTAATTATATTTTCATGTTTATCTTTATTTTTAAATAATTAGGATTAGTGGGTAATTTAATTTATTAGTTGTTTGAATTTTAGGAATCTAGAGGAGAATTGTGCCAATTTTTTCAATAATTTTCCTGTCTAATAATGATAACTAGTTGTCTTGAATTCTTAGCTTTAGGTGAATAAGGTTTTTGTTTGGATTTATACTAAATTCTTTTTTATAAGTATGATTGTTAGGATATGATTTTCATAATTTTGAGCACTATATCTTTTGCTTTGAATTATTGTGAGTATTTAAAGGAGGTTTATATTGATGTAAATTTTAGATTATGTCAAGAATTCTAAAATTTACTTGATTCTCTCTCTCGATGAAATCCTAGACAATATTTAGTTAGGGATATGATTTAAGCCATCTTTGGATCGTTTGGGCCTAAAAAGCCAATCTTGTTAAATCTTTATTCTTAGTGTACCTTGTTGAGCTTAATTTTCCTTTTTTTTTGTTTAATTACATACTAATGAGCCGAGCCTTAAGATCAATTTTCTAATTTGCAACCATCACTCCTAAGCATGTATATTCGTTTTAAGAAATATAGAATGGGTTAAATGTTGAAAAAGGTGAAAAGTAATGTTGATGTGAAAAAAAAGAGAAAAAAAAATCAAAATATTAAAAATCACCCCACTACCTACAATACAAAGAAAAGTTTGGAGGTGTAAAATTGTGAAAAAAAAATGTTGAACAAAATAAAAGTCCAAATGTGGAAGATAATGTGTACTTGGAGAAGGAAAATAGAGCTATATATATAAATCCTAAAATAATTATGTGCTTAGGGTGATTTGAGTCACATTATTATCTTTTATCCTATCTAAACCAAAACCATACATAACAAGCTTTGTAAAAGTCCTATTGATCCCTAACTCTGTGTTAGTCTATATTAGTGAAGAGGGAAATGAAAAGTAAACGTATGGAATTCAAGTACTGATTTGAAATTTATGTTGGTATAAACTCATCAAGATGTCATGATATTCTTAGTAAAAGATTTCACACACACACATGAAAATCCATTCGAGAATGTGCTTGTATTGGAATTGAAACATGAATTTAAGTAATAGCTATAGTTTTCCTTAAGTTGAAATTGATAAACATACTTTTGAAGAAATTATGAGGAATCATTGAATTGGTGCACTTTATCTATTAGTAGTAGTAACTCTATTTATTTTGTTTTCACCATTTGAAATTAATTTTCGTAAGTTAGTTTTTTTTCTGTGTTTTGCTCAAGGATTAGCAAACTATTAAGTTCGGTGGTGTTCTTTTTACTACAAAAACTTGTTATTGATTTCTCAGGTAAGTGCACGTATTATTAACAAGTAATATAGTAATAAAGTAGAGTATCGTTCCTACAGAGAATTGTTTTAATTCTTATTGTTAAGTATTAAAATTGATACACCTTAATTTTGTCCAAACAATTACAAATTAAATTAAAAAGAAAAACAAACTAAAGACTAAAACTAATCTAAATAAACCAGCAAAATTATTTTATTAAATTTGATTGACTTTTAGACCTAAGATTATGATGTCCTTTAGTACTTCATTTGGTTATTGTCTATCTCTTAACTTAGCTTAATGGATTAAGTTGCAAACCTAGTGTCCCAATTTATTTATAAGTCTCTATCGAGTTTCATATAAAAATATCTCTCTCAATTAATTTACCATATGTTTATACAAATTAACTAAAGATAGATTTATTAAGTTTAGGTTTTAATCCTACTACGTATGGCTTATAGGTATATATTTACCCTATATGCAAATCAAATCACCTAATCAATTAAGTGCATTCGATCATATGCTATTCTATTCAAGGTCTACCTAAATATTTTTTGTCAAGGTTAAACCTACGTTTCGAATTCAATCTAATTAGTGATCAAGTAATTAGAAGTATTAAGAATAGAATAAAATAAATAACTTAAATCTATCAAATATAAGTAAAAGAGAAATAAATAAATCAGACTACGTATTGAGTTCAATCATAATTTTAGATAAATAAATTAGTTTCTCATCAGGTCACACATCATCATCAAATTAAATTTAAACATTGAAACAAAATCAAGAAAAATAAAGAATAGAGAAACTCTAAGAGTGAAACTCTTGATCTCCAAATCTGCTTGAATCCTTCAATTTCTTTTCAGCTCCAATGAGACCTATTTTTTTTTTTTGTAGCTTGAATCTCAGCTATCAATTTGGTGTCTTGTTCTCTTCTTCTGAAAGTCCTCCGAAAGGTTGTTTTTATAGTGGTTTGAAGTTAGACCAAGTTAGGTGAAGAAAGAAGTCAATTCAAATTAGGATTTTTGCATCAGACTATGTGAACCGCGGCCTTGACCAATCAATTAGCAAACTTATAATTGTTTTAGGACTACTGTAGTGCTTCAATTTCGACAAGATTTTTTACTAATTTCTATGCCAAATTGGGTAAAGTAGTAAAATGAAAATTGTAGAGTTTTCTCTTAGCTTTCTAATTGTCAAAGAATCATCTCATTTAAAGTTTTGTAGAGAGAGTTATGATCAAAAAACTAAAATATATGCAGTAGAAGTTTACACCTTGAAATTGCTCTCTTTCTTCCATTAAAAATCTTCCTTCATTAAACACCTACAAAAGCACATATAAATCAATAATAATCTATCTTAATCACATTAACACCAAATTAAATATAAAATTAATTAAGATTAGATTAACTCACCTAAATTAATTAATTTAAAATAATTTAAATAAAACTTATTAATTTTTATGCATTACTACAAGAATTAAATTAAATTGCTATCAAAATTAAGCCCAAATAGCTCAATAGCATAGAGTTATCAGTTAATTGGTTAAAGATGACTTTAATCGATTAGAAACATTTTGTTTCCAGACTTCTCCAACCAACAATCTTCCTTTAATTGGTTAGACCTCCCTTTAATCGATTGAGATTTCTTTTCCTTCATCTTTAACCGATTAAAACAAGCTTCAACTAATTAAAAGTTCTTCAAATTTGAATCTCTTCATTTTAGCTCCTTCAATGGTCAATTTTATTTCAATTTTGGATTTTGGCACTTGAACGTACTTCAGATCTTGTGCTCTAACCAATTAACTCCATTCCTTAACCGAGTAGCATTCTTCTGTCTTTAGCTGCCAACACCTTCTTAATCAGTTAAACCTAATGCTAACTGATTAAGGCTTTTCTGCCTTACTTTTATATAGCGCCCACTTATTCCTTAATTGATTAAGGTTCCACGTTAATCAGTTAATAATATTTTGTTTTACTAAACCTTTTCTTCTTTCTTTATTTAATTGATTAACCCATCTTTTAAATGAGCAAGCTTGTTGACTTACCTTTAATCATCAATTTTATTAGAGAACTTAAACTTTATCCTGCATATTTAAAAAATAAAGTTAAACGTTAATAAATAAGTAATATTTTATTATCATAAAAAACATATTAAATCCACAGATTCATGTGGCTACCTGCCATATGTGCCTGTTACATCTGAAGATTTTCTATACTGATTTGAAATATAATACTAGCACTAGATTATTCAAGAAATCTATAATGCGCTAGTGATTAAGTGATATTACACAAACATTCATAGATTTTAGATATTGGAAAGGTTTCTGCAACATGGCAGAGCAGAAGAATTACCTTGGGTTTTAGGTATATGATAAAGGCCAAATGAATTGCAAATCAGACATCTGTATGACCTTCCAAAATCAGTAGCAGTAGACTTTCTGCTTCCATTTTCTAATCCAGCAGGTACCCTTGCAATCAAGCCAAAAGAAATTGAACTGTTCTAGCTTTTAGGGAATTTCCTACTTTTTCATGATATCAATCTTTCATGCCTGTGCCAATTCAATTCATTGAATATCCTTAAATGCTAATGATAATTTCCACCATATACCTTAGGCTTAAATAAATGAAGACCTCAGGTGCTGCCACACCATCATTCTTTCGTCACTTTCCACTGGCACATGTGCTCCTTTACTCACCTTGTGGCTTGAATATAATTTCCATGATATCTCCCTCCACTTTGCTTCAGTGTATACGGTATGTAGTTTTCTTATCTATGGCTCATATTGATAGAGAGATAAAGAAAAAGAGTGAGAACTCTGCTGAAACTGGGAACGCGTTAAGCTCCCACAAATTCTTTTTTCCTTGTCAACTTTTTGACTTTGGAATATGGTAATTACTCTCCATCATGATCATCATAAAAGTCTAGAAAAGTCTATCATGTAAATGTATATGTTATGTAGTACCTTTATAAGTATAAATTGAAGTTTTCGACAAGAATTGCTGCTATAGCAAGTCAGCAATGGAAAGCACTCTCTTTCGCATAATTGTTGTTCTACTGGGTTTATATCATATTGTCTGTTTGAATGCTGTCCCGATTACAAGTAAACATTCATAACCTCTATCTATTACCTTTCTTATTCTTATTCTTCTCCATGCCATAACATCTCCATTTTTGCTTGCAGGAATCGGAAGCCCAATGCATGGGCCTCAAGTTCATCAAGTTCCAGAGAATACTCACCTGGTACTTTATCAAGAAAGCAGATGAAATACATCTCCTTATGCTAAAATGAAACTCGTGATTCAACTTAATGGCACATCTTTCTTTTTCGCAGGTAGCTGCAGAGAAAAGTTCAGAGGCACAGATCATTAAGGGCAGGATGGTTGTGGAGCTGAACGATTACCCTGGGTCAGGAGCTAATAACCGCCATACTCCAAGGCCACAATTTGGCAGATGTGCGGATTGTTAGTTTCTCTAAATAGTCGGTCTTTGTTCTTCATATTATAATACAGTGTAAAGGATGATTTTGTTCTATAATCTCTCTATTTGTTTAGCTTCTTAAATTTGTTTTTTCCGTCTCTTTTCTGGGGGGTGGATTTGATAAACTAAGTGCGTTGGGAAGCTAATTCTTAAGGGGAGACATTCTGAGGAGGTGTAACAGAATGAAGAGAGCAAGTACGGAGAACTAATTGTTGTAGATTTCAGTAATATGGATGTTAGAGACTTTAAGCAAATTGATAATCTCCTTATCTAGTATTATGAGATGGATTATTATAACTACAAGTCACCTCTTAGTCTGACTGCACAAGATAATGGTTGTTAAACCTTGGTGCACCGTAAAGTCTTCACATCTCCATCGACTGAGTCCATCCGCCAGCTTCACCTTCATCGTGTGTTCCCGCTCAAGAAGTGGAAGCTGTTGTCGTTTCAAGAAAAGATATTTAGGACAGTGGCTTCGGTAGATCATGGAAGTCTTTCCATTTTGGAACTGCTAAATTCCCCAGAAGCAGGGGAAGGCTTTTCCTTTGTGCTGCTTGGAGTATACCCTGAAAGTTCTTGACAGCTTGGATTAGACTTCAGCAGTCCATATCCTTGGTGCCAGATTTCCTATTTTTGATGTACGTACTGTGTTTCTGGTTGTCTCCAAAATGTCGTATGGTGAAACTCCACTGCAGACTAAAACTCGACTTTCTCTCAATGTCAGTATCCCTTTGTTTTCATGTTTCAATAAGAAAATATGTTCTTACAGCTAACTGACGACATTTCAATAAGAAATTTGCAGTATAGAAGAGCCGTATCTTTTTTGGATGATGGAACTAATTAAGGATAACTGTCCATCCTCTGTCTTGCAGGATTTACTCAAAAGTGAGAAAAGGTACGCATTGCTTGCGTGGTAGGTAACATGATAAACAATTCAATTAGAGCAATCGTGCTGGACAACCCACCCAGTTTCTGCAAACTTTGCCGTGAAAAATGCTTGTCCTTGGAATGTGCTTTACACTTAATTGGGTTTAAAAAGAGCATGTTCGAGTAAAATACTGTGAATGCATCTTTTTGCAGTTTGGTGTTAGACAACCAAGATGTTAAGAAGTTCATTAGAACCAATATGCACTTTTTAAAGCAGCCTGTTAGGTGAACCACTCACAAAGCCCCTCGTAAATATCTCGAGGCAGTTTTTACATGTGCTTTGTATTTTTAGTGGAGAAAGTGGGGTGTGATGTGTTAGGCATTAATTTCTTTTTTTTATTCTGCTTGGTCCTTTTTGTCTGCCCCTGGAGATGGTCAATATCATATTAATTTGCATCGCATTTGTCAGAACAAATGTAGTGCTTGAAATGAATGGCAATATATATTAAATATAGTCATAAATATTATCTCATAAAATTATACAAACGTATCTATGACTGAAACCAAAAACTAGTAATCTGGATTCAGGTTGGCATAAACTAAGCAGATCAAAGGCAGAAACTCCCAAAATATAAACTTCATGCAGATCAAGAAAAGTGGTAGCGGCAAGTGGGAAGAATACTCGGGAGGCATAAAGAAATTATTTGGACACCTGTATTTGTTGAATCATAAGTACACAGACTGGACTAGCGCAATTGAAGGAAAAAGATTGCTCAACCACAAAACTGTTGCTTCAGATTAGAAGACAAGAAGTTAAATTTCGCAAAATACTTGTGCTACTTGGTCTTCCACTTCGTGTCACTACTTTAAAGAAAGGAACGGTAATGAGGCCATCGACCTAACACGGTGTCCTTTGGCACTTTTGCCCAAGATGCCTGCTGCTCGGAGTCTGGACCTTCTAACCTCTTACCATATTACTTGAATGCCTGTGTATATAAGTGTAACTCTTTAACAGAGGTCATCTAGGCACTGCCAGGTATGGAATTTCAGAACGAATTCGCCTGCAGAACAAGCATTTTCTAGTCAAAATTGCAATTATGCCTAGTTAAAATAATTGATGAAATAAATCTCACTGAGAATCCTTAGATGCTGAATACATCCAAGGAGTAAACACTGCTTTAACGACGCTAATCTTCAAACAACATCATTTTTTTCACAGGTTTTGCCCTCTGGTGATTTAACTAGTGTAGCAAATCATTATTTGCTATGGATTTCACGTGACTGCTTGTTGGAGATACCATCAAACTACCAGCAGTATAATTGACACGCTGTAGAAGTGACAGTTTTGACAGTAGAATTATAAACGCGTTGAAGTGTTTGAATACTCTCTAGATAATTTTGTTAAGAAGCCACTATGTGTTCATATACATGTTTCATTGTCAACGTAAAAGGAAAAGCAATCTATGCAATAAAAATGAATTGCCTAGATCAAGGTAATGTCATATGATTAAGCCTATAATTAAGGCAAATCACAGCAAATTAGAATCACTAAGTCAAACCAAATCATTTCAAATGAGATGGCCTTCATTACTCCCCCTCAACAGTAAAAAAAGGAGAAATTTCTATCATGCATTATAGCTCTAATGATCAATTAGCTGATATTATGACTAAGGGACTTGGCAAGGAAAAGTTTGAGACTCTTAGAACCAAACTTGGAGTCCTTAAGCTTGACCTTAAAGAGGTGTGATGGAGTTAAAGGCAAGCATAAAGAGGTTTAGTTGTTTGGCGCTAATATTCAAACTATGAATATAGATAAGAAGACTATTAGCTACACATGACCTTTTAAAAAATCAAGCCTTTACTAGTTTCAATATTTCATTTTCTTTAACTTTATTTTCTATTGGTTTTATTTTCTCTTTCATGCCACTGTGTTATTTACTCTATAAAATTTCAACGTCCCGCATTACCAAGGTATAAGAGAGGTAAGTGCCTTATATATGAAAATCCAAAATGAGCTTGTTGTAAACAAGAAAAGAAAATGGACTCGTGCAAATATGAGATCGAGCCAAATCTTGAGAAAATGCAAATATCTTTCTTGCGTGTGAGTATATATATACGTGGGCTAGGCCCAAGTATTAGTCTTTTTACCGTGAAGAAAGAATTAATTTTTGATTCACATTTTGCCGTTATAAATATTTTGTAATGTTAGACAAAATATTTTATCTTGATTTAATCTTTGAATCTTTGAGGATATTTATAACTTTATAGAATATTTTATCTTGATTTTCTCTTGATTCTTTCAACAGTTTCTCTCTATAAATACAATCTCCATGTTCATTCTCAATATACCTTAAGTCTCACATTTTCTTTTCTTAACTTTCCTCACTTTCTTATTTTGATGGGTTTTTTCTTATTAGTAATTTTTCAGTTGTTCCTGGTATCCTTGATAGTTTGTGCAAACTAATCAAGAAAAGTCTATTGAATCTTGAAAGATAACCACTATAGTATTTTTACACAGAGTTTTGTACTTTAAAGTCTATAAATGCAAGCAATTCAAAGCATGATGTTTGACCTCCTCCAAATGCGTAAATGTCATCGAGCCGTTTAGGTTGATTTGCAACTTGAGAACAGTTTTTAAAAAATGGCATTATAAGCATTTTATGTAGTGTATCTGCATCAGATTTGAATTTAATTTATAAGAATTGTTACATTTTCATGGAATGTTTTGAGAGAATATATTTAGCACCCAAAACAGATTTGGCTTAATGCTATTTTGGGTCTTAAAATCATAAGATATGATAGTAGCCTAATGCTAATGCAAAAGCATTATGGTAAGAGGTTACTTCAAGGTTTGGTCGACATTTAATGTTACACCTATGAGTACTCTTTATAATGTTAATATCCAATTAAAGAAAAATAAAAGTGATAGTGTGGCTCAGTTTGAATATGCATAGATTATTGAGAGTCTGATACATTTGATGAATTATACTTGACATAATATACTTATGTTGTGAGTAGACTCAGCAGATATACACAGTCCTAATCAAGATCGTTGGACTACCTTGAGCAAAGTAATGAAATATTTAAAAGGTATCATAAATTATGGTATTTTATATAATGGATTTTTCACTGTATTAGAAAGATACAGTGATGCTAACTAGACCTCAGATTCAAATGAGAAAAAAATCCACAAGTGGTTATATATTCACCCTTAGTGGGGTGCTATAACTTGAAAATCAGCTAAACAAATAATAATTGCTAAATCTACAATAGAGTCAGATTTTGTAGCGTTAGAGTTGGTTGTCAATGAGGCTGAGTGGTTAAGAAACCTTTTAACAGATATTTCGTTAAGAATGAAACTAACACTTTCCGTGTCCATGCATCGTGATTGCCAAACAACAATAGCCAATTTGCAAAGAATGAATTTTTCAATGGTAAGAATGGACACATTCGTTGAGACATGATGTCGTAAAGTAACTACTCAGAGATGGAATTATGCCCATTAATTATGTGAAGTCAGAGTTAGAATTTGGCCAATTCTCTAACTCAGCCCTTGGGATGAAAGTTAATTAATGATACATTGAGAGGAATGAGACTTAAGCCAATTGAGAAAATCAACAAATAATAGTAACCCAGCCTATGTGATTGGAGATCGCATGAATTAGGTTCATATGGGTAATAACAAGTAATTTATTGATAAATTGATGCACTATTAAAATTATTGTCCCTCTTATGGTGTGTGAATGTGCAAAACTGCAATGCAAGAAACATTGAGTTAAAGTCTTAATGAATTCCACATCCCCTATGGATAGTGTATTAAACTGCAGTATATACTTGATGGAATCACCTATATAAGTGTGGAGTAGGGCCACTTAAATGAGAATTGTGGCAAATTCTCTGGCGCACTTATTAATAACCAAGTACGTGCATGGCCTATTCAAGCAAAACTATGTTGAATACCAGAAATTATCGAGGTGTAATGTGATTGATGAAAACTATATCTCATATAAAGAATTTTTGGTTCATAGAAGTTACTAACTTCATCAAAATTCTATGATTTATGTTTCATTCTTTTTAAGCCTGGTTCATAGCCTAAAAAGCACTAATCACAATGCATTACACTCAAATGAAATTTGACCCGACGAAAAGCTTCCTATGAAAATTTATGAAATATATGGAGGATTGTTGGAAAAATAATGTATTTCATAAAATTTTAACATCCCACATTGTTAAGTTACAAGAGAGGTGAGTGCCTTATATAAAGAAATCCAATAATAGGCTTGTTGTAAGCAAGAAAGGAAAGTAGCCTTACCTTGACTTAGTCTTTTTATTGTGCAAAAAAAATTAGTCTTCAATTCACATTGTGTTGTTATAAATATTTTGTAACATTAGACAGAATATTTTATCTTGATTTAGTTTTTAATACCTTTTGGATATTTATAACATTACAGAATATTTTATCTTGATTTTCTCTTGATTCTCTTAATTGTTCCTCTCTATAAATACAACCTCCACATTCATTCTCAATATACCTCAAGTCTCATATCTTCTCTTCACTACTTCCCTCACTTCCTTATTTTGCTAGAATCTTTCTTATTAGTAATTTTTCTATTATTTTTAGTATCCCTGATAATTTGTTCAAACTAATTAAGAAGATTCTGTTAAATTTTAGAGGATAACCGCTACACAACTTTTGCATTGAATTTTGTATTTCGAAGGATTGGAAATTATCTTTCAAGACAGTGATATCACGTTTGAGACTTCTTACTATATTTACTTGCTTTATATTATTTTCATTTATTTCCCAATTTTTCTAATAGTCGTTTCGTATAGACAACGTTGTAAACAGTTGTATGGCAATGTACATGCACAGCCGACCAGACTGCTAGGTGGCCACTACCCATTTTTTCTTCTCTCCTCTCTGCAACATTTTGTTTATCTTCAAGTCCTATAAGGCTAACAATATGTGTAATACCCTGTTTGTTAAAAATATATAGTCAGAAATTTTATTCCATTACTCTCAAAATTTTTCCTTGCTTTTTCATTTTAGAATTGAAAAGGTATCAATTTCCCACTGCAAGTTATAGACTTATGGGCTGCCAGAGAAGCTTAATTTGAATTGTCACCACCAAGAAAGATTAATCTGTGCCCTTGTGTATCTCAAACAGAATGAACTTGTATAATTGCTAAAGGTCTGATTTGATCCTGGAATATGAAAGTCAGAATTCCAATGTATCGAACAGAGGCCTGAATTTCTGATGAGGAAGAAAGAGTTCGAAGAAAGATGACAATTGAAAGTCTCTTGGGAATTGCTCAACAACAGTTACACTTTAAAAATTATTATTTATAATAAATAGATGAAAATGTGAAACAATTAAAATACTTATTACATCACAGAGACTCATCAAAGACGTTAAAGCAAACTGCTTCTTTTACAATCATTTCAACTGAGGTCATAATACATGTTATTCATCTGGAGATGGAGCAATGGCAGATTCTGGGGCAGGAGCAGGAGCATGTGAATTAACATCTAAAAATCCAAATTTCTTGATAAGCTCGTTAGCAATGAGCTCATTGGCACTATCTGATGGGTGGTACTCATCCCAAAAGACATACTTGCTTCTATCTTCACACAATGTTGATGCTGGTAAGCATGTGAGAGCAGGCCGAATATTTCCCAATGAACAACATGGTGAGTCAGAGTTATTAAATCCTGCAAATATCAAAGTGGGAAGCAATCACGGAAATGCAGATAAAGTCCTGGAAAAAGATGAATATTAGGGTGGTTACTGTTTCGTTTACTTTGCCCTGATGAACTATAGTAAGACTTCGTTATATCTTCTTTTTTTAATTTTTTCCTATCCTACAAGATCATAAAAATGAATATGCCTATTTACCAAGTCTTCCACTCTTCATTCCTCTTAACTTTTTCTTTGGCATGCAGGCAAAATTGCTATTTTTGGAACATGGACTCACCATATTTGTATGGATTGCGAATCACATCATTTACAACGTCGTAAGCATCTCCAAATTTGAAGCTAGCGTTGGAAAGTTTACTTGCCATATTGACTAATAAATTGCTTGCAGCTTTATTGAAGCTAAGAGCCAGCTTGTTTGCTCTTTCCTGGCACTGTCCAGATGTACTTAGGATCCTTTGCAGTGGTATGCAGCCCATCGGTCCTAGTCCGAATACCATTAATTGCCGCGCTCCTAAGTTATGTAATACCTTAAAGAAAGAAAAGAAACACATAAACCTAGTTAATTGGCATGAATAGTCTATTTGTAGACTAGGAGGATCATAATCTGCTTACCCGGAGTTGTTGTTCAAGTGTTTCCATTAAGTATTCAATAAAAGTTTCATCATTGTACTTCCACGAGTCACTATACACTGGCATTAAGTAATTGTTAATGAAGTCATTGCTCCCTAAAGCAACCACAAAGCGAGCGTCTTGAAAGAACTCCGCTGCTTGTTTGCCAAGTTTGTTCGTAATCAATTCAGTTGTCCCCTGAAATAGCTCAATTTGTTTCCAAAGAGGGAACCTCTGAATCTGCAACGGGTCATAAATATCGTTTAAGAACTGGTAAGACATCCATTTTACTTCCGAGGAACAAAATGCAAGAAACTTAAGGTTAGGAACTTACGAAGTAACCTCCTGTCTGATTCAAAATCCCACCTCCTCCAGAGGCATAATTTACTCCATTCTCCAATATCACATCTTCATTCAAAGATGGATCTAAGAAAGCTGGTGGCCTTGGCAGACCAGTATTATCACCTGAGTGAAAATGCTTGGTTAGCAACAAAAACAATTAAAGGTAGATCAACAAAAGTAACATGAAAATGGTCAGTTCTCAAAGACTGTGAATTGTAATCTTAAAGACAAAGCACTGCCATGCATTACCACTAGATGAGCTTAAACTTTTGAATGTAACAACTAGTAGTTAATCATTAACCTATTATGTCAGCAACCGTTCGGCCATTGGTGAACCTTCCATTAGGCAGACCATTTCCAAAATCAATACCGTAAAATGGCAGGCTGGCCTGAGCCAAGCTCCTAGGAAGATACTTGTTGTTGCCTACATCAGACAAGGAATCCCCGAAAATAAACTGCACAACCTTGCCATGACAACCCTGAATGGCGATTCCCACAAGGCTCACAAGTAGTAAAGTCACAGCCACATTGAACTTCATGTTTACTCCAGTGTCTTCCAGGACGTATAAAAGTTATGTTCGGAAAATTGATGAAGCTGGGGTTTTAAACCTACGTGAATTTCCCTGTTAGAAGAACATGTCGACAAATATGAGAGCCTGAGAAAGCTGGAACCAGCAAGAAACTTGGAATGTTTAATTCGGAGGGAATGGTATCATCATCTGATGAACCAACTTTGTTGGCGGGTTTCAGACCTAACCATAACTACCCTTTTTCTTGTTACAACTGTGTATCCGAACAAATACTTTGACCAAGATCAGTCTAAGATTGGAGACCGCGGCCGGCAGCAACATTTGACTTGCTAAAAAAGAGCGTGCACGACACGTGAACTTTCTTTTGTTACTATAATAGACTTGGCCAGGAGGAAGGTCTTTCTCAGATATTAAGAGGGTGAGTGGATTTGGTTTGGTTTTGAGCTGGGTTGAGGTGAGTTTACCTAACATTACAATTTCTTGCATGGAAGGATTAATGGAGCCTTCTGTTTCAAATGTTGGGCAACAATCTTGTCCAAGAAAAAACATGTTGGGCAAAAATATTGTTAAAACGTTGGTAAAAATATAGTTGAATCAACTTCCAATCAGCATAAAAAGTCCAAAAACTCACCATAAGATATGTTTAATATAAACAAATACTTTAAGTTTTGTCAATTAAACCTGACAAGCGTGAATCCGTGAACTATCTTTACTATAAACAATCCCTTCTTAAGATATTGTTAAATATTTTTTTGATCTATCTAGTTTTAATATAAACTTGACTTCGTATCAATTTTCTGATTTATACTTAAATTAATGAATCCATTTGATCAAGGGAAAAAAAATCAGTCACCAACTCTCCACCTGCACGTATATTAACAAGTTACGTAACAGGATTGGTTAAGCATATAAACCTCCGGGTCGGGCTGGCTTTCTTTCTCAAAATTTTGAACTTGCCCATTGATGATTCAACTGTTATCGTTTTTTCTTGTTTATTCTTATTTGTTTGTCCCCTTTTAATTTATCAAATTTTATGCTGGCTTTCTTATTGGTTAAGCATATAAGCATATATTCTTATTACATGCAAAAAGTGAGAGAAATTTCTTTTATAATTTCACTCAGTTATATATATATATATATATATGAAATTATCATTACTATTAATATGTATTTTTTTATATGTTTAATGTTTTGTAAATTTTATTTAATTTTTTAAATGATTGAGAATTTAATTATATATAAAGTATTTTTTTTGTTTAACAACCCTTTAAAAATACGTTAGCTCCACCCCTGATGAATACTATATAACAAATAACTATTTGGATCAAGTTTAATTGGATTAGGGATGGGTATTATTTAATTAAAATCGAAATAATTAAATTTATTATAAAACTCGATTAAAACGATGGCAGTAACTTCGTTTTCTTACCGCTACTCTGAGCCTCCACTCCAATCCTTCACATCAAGCTCTAAACTAGCCATAACTTGCACCACGCAGTCCACACCCATGGCAGTTACTTTGTTTTAGCTTTTCAATTTCTTTCTTTCACAAGTAAGGTTATCAACAAGTATGGTTCCATCCAATTTTGAGGTACCCAAATCCTAATCCTATAAAAAATAAAATATTTAAATCCTATTCACTATCCAAATATTTTTAAAAACTATTATCCTAACCTTAATCTTAAATCATCCCCACTACCATATAATTATCCTAACCCGTTTAAAAATCCAATTATGTAAAAAAGTTATTAAAATGGTTTTTATGGATACCCAATTATTCAAACTCAAATCCGTACTTGTATCCATATATAATAATATTTTTCTTACATATTCTATATAATTCATTAATAATTAAATTAATAAAAACACACAAATTATAAAATTTAAATTTAAATAATCAAAAACCAATATCTCAAACATAAACTTAAATAACTAAAAAAATATACTCAAATAGTCACATAAAATTAAATAACTAAAACCAAATATTCAAACAACAACATAAACTTAAATAACCAAAAACAAATATTCAAACAACTTCTTAAACATCATTACAAGTTTACAATAATAAGGCAACAACTCACGAAAAATTCAATCAACTTCTTCCTTGTTAGTGTCAATAAGCATTGCAATTAAATCTTCAATTGTTATACATGATCCTACACAAATAAAAAAAATATGTAACATTTAAGATAATAAATAATTTTTTATATAAAATAAATAAAATAAAAATATCTGCCCAAAGCTCAGGCTAAAAAGCCACCAAATTTTGGGCACAATAGCTACCCAAAAATGAAAATAAAAAAGAGATGAGATTTACCTGAATGGAGGACCACGAATAGAGGATCGGACTGGTTAGCGGCTAGGGTTGAGAACTGAGCACTTGAGCAGTGAGGATTTTAAAAAGGACAGAGCGGCTGCCAGCTAAAGGAAGAAAAGAAGGAAGAAAGAGCGGCTAGAGTTTTTACCCATTAATATATTATCATTATTAAATTATAAACAAAAACAAAATTATTTTGTTATTTAGTAATTATTAACTTAAATAATAATAATAATTATATTCTTTATAAATGAACATAATATATAATATAAAGTGTGTATATATATTATAATTAATAATTTTATAAATTATAATTTTTATAATGTTAATAAAAAATAAAAAGTAAATATATTTATATTTAAAGTATATATATACTAAAAGTATTTTAGTATATATAAAATAGTAATTATAATCCTTATAAATGAACCCAATATATACAAAGTATATATATTAAAAAACATTACATGTTAATTATTGACCATAGTTTCATTAATTAATTTAATTAACTATATAGGTTTGTCCTTAATTACATGAAATTAAAAAAATAACTAGGTTTTAAAACTATTCTAATCTCACAATTTCTCTTTAGATTTATATATTATAAGTTTATGTAAACAAAGGTATATATATATATATTATAATTAATAATTTTATAAATTATAATTTTTGTAATGTTAATACAAAATAGAAAGTAAATATGTTTATATTTAAAGTATATATATACACTAAAAATATTTTAGTATGTATATAATAGTAATTATATTCCTTATAAATGAACCCAACATATATAAGGTATATATATTAAAAGACATTATAAGTTAATTAATAATCATATTTTCATGAATTAATTTAATTAATTATATGAGTTTGTCCTTAATTATATGAAATTAAAAAAAAAACTAAGGTTCAAAAACTATTCTAATTTTACAACTTCTCTGTAGGTTTATATATTGTAAGTTTATATAAGCAAAAGATATATATATATTATAATTAATAATTTTATAAATTACAATTTTATAATGTTAACACAAAATAGAAAGTAAATATATTTATATTTAATATATATATATATATATACTAAAAGTATTTTGGTATAAATATAATAACAATTATATTTCTTATAAATTAACACAATATATAAACCATATATATTAAAAGACATTACAAGTTAATTAATAATCATGGTTTCATAAATTAATTTAATTAACTTTATGAATTTGTTCTTAATTACAAGAAATTAAAAAAAAAAGTTAAGTTTCAAGCTATTCTAATCTCAAAGGTTCTATTTAAGAATACTAGAAATGTATCTGCGTTACACAACAGGTTTGTAAATTTTATGAATAGTTGATGTTAAAAATTTAGAATAAAAATTTTAATTAGTAGATATCAAGAATTTTTTATTATTGTTATTAATTTTTAGTATTATAATTGTTACCTATTGTTTAAAGAAAAAAATAATTTATTTGTTATGATGCAAATTTAAATAATTTATTTGTTATGATACAAATTTAAAATAATAGACTATGTTATAATACACAGTAATGTATTAAAATAATTAAACAAATTGTTTTTCATTTATAATTTAAAAAGCAAGAATAAAAAGGATGAATGGTTATTGCAAAATCAGTGGAAATTTTGTTATCACCTATAAAAAAAAGTTTATTAAGAAAGACAGTTTTCTAAACAGAAGAATTCTAACTTCCACTTATGTTTCTGTTTTAGCTTTTGGATGTTGGGCTTGATTAATTGGATAACATATCAAAGCATACATTCAAAATGAATTAAAACTTTAAAATTGAATAAAAATAATAAACAACCATAAGTTGAAAAAGAGTCATTTCACCATTGACAATAACCTACAAAAACCATAATTTTTGATATAATCATAAGATATTAAATTTCTGATATAGTACAATCACAAAGCAATTGAACCATTGCAACAAAATATTTCTCAGAGTACCATTCCCCCAAATTCTCATCCTTAGTAAAAAGGAGAGACTAGAACCAGTCTCCTTCACTCCCTTTTTTTTCTCCCTACTAAAACATGAACAACACAAGCCAATTGCAAAATTAGAAACAGCCATGCTTTTATAGAACTAGCATGTACCTTGGAATTAACAAAAGCAAGAAATGACATAGTGAGAATAACAGAAATATTATTCCATCTCAAAGCTTCCATTACGAGGATTAGCATTTGGTGTAATTTTCATGCCACCGCAAAAGTACTTTGCATTCAAAATACAAAAGGCTGTCGCTTGAGAAAAAGTTTGCCACTCACCCTCATTCACTTGGATATGAAATTATTTATGAAGACAAAACTCATAATGCTATCATCTGAAATGAGCATGGTATGGGGTATGGCATGACCTAACAGATCAGAAAATACTAAATTTTCACAAGTAGAATTGTTGCTCTTTGGATCCCTAAAAATTTAAACCATGATTCTAAGGTCCAGATTATGGTGCCTAATAAAGGCTTGCAAAGCACCAATAGCATAGCATAAGTTTCCAAATTTCTTGCACCTCGATGCATAATAACCTGCCTTTGCACTCTTACAATATTCCACAAAACGCAACACTATTGAGGCTAGTAAGCCTCTAGCATTGCGTTCCATAGCTTCACAGGGATCATTAGAAAGATGAAAACTATACATGAAAAGTCAAACAAAAATGAAAATACACTGAAACAAATGACTAAAAATTATCCTTCAGTGAGAATTTACCATGCTTGAAACAAATTTTATACCAATAATTATCACGATCAGTATATTAACAGTTATAAAACTTATTTTATTTAATAATGCGTTCTCCTCCA